CAAACCAAACCAAACCAAACCAAACCAAACCAAACCAAACCAAACCAAACAAAACAAAACAAAACAAAAAAAAAAGAAAGAAAAAAAAGAAATTCAAGTGAGTAGACGGAATAATTTGACAGTGGGATTCTTGTTTGCATTTTGTTGTGGACTTTGGGGTTTTTTGTTTGCCTGTTCGTTTATTTTGTTTTTGCTTTGCTTTGTTATTTGAGAATAGGGATTCTCTATATAACAGTCCTGACTGGTCTGGAACTTGCTCTGTAGACCAGGCTGGCCTTGAACTCACAGAGGTCAGCTTGCCTCTGCCCTTCGAGTGCTGGGATTACAGGTGTGACAGCGGGATTGTGAAGGTGGCTGAAAGGAACATAGTAGAGATCAAGGAAAATGCAAAAGCTTATCACCCCAAATGTTCCATGGGACAGAGGTCCAGAGCACTGTTCTCTGCTCTCCAGTGTCTGGACAGAAAGTCTTAAAAGGAGAAAAAGATCACTGTGGCAGCTCATGCTTGCAATCAGAGAAATTGGGAAATTATGGGAGGATTACTCATGTTTGAGGCCAGCCCGGGATACTTACTGAATTCCAGGCTAACCCCAGGCTATGGAGTGAAACCTTGTCTCAACCAAAGAGAGGGAAGATAGGCATGATAATTTGAAAAGTGGGTAGGAAAAATGTTTTTCACTATTCTGTGACACAGAATAAGAAATTATCATTATAATATTTTCATCAACTGAGAACTAACAGATTATGGATGTTTCAACACTTAATTATTTTAGGGTTTACAGAAATATTTAAGTGGGCTTAAACAGAATGAGCTCATTGACCACTTCTGTGGTACAGAGAAAGAAAATGGTTTAGAAAGTTAAGTTTTGGCAGGATACAATGAAATACTTCCATTTATATTGAAGAATTTGGGTAGGAGTAAAGAGGAATTGTGAGGTGAGAGAGAGAGAGAGAGAGAGAGAGAGAGAGAGAGAGAGAGAGAGAATACACATATATATAATGATCTTAATCGTAACCCTCAGTTAAGGTGGGGAAGGAAGAGCATCTGTGAATGGCTCTCAGTAGAGAAGAGGAAGTACACGCTTTTTATTGATCCTCATCTGTGTTGTGAACCTGAGTTACTTTATGTAGCATGTGCTATTTGGGGTCAATTGGCATATTTCATTGCAAGAAACAAATGTTTGAATAAAATTGGTTTTCTCAAGAATCAAAGCTCTCCCAGTTTCATTCGATAAAGAAAGAAATCCAATAGTCTCTGCACTTACTACCAAGCAAGAGTTGTGAATTTTGCTTTGATTTTCCATCTAGAACTGCAAAGTGACGCTTTACAAAAAATGGGTCTACATAAAGAAAGATACCTTGGCCATCTGAGGCTTGCAAACCTGCAGCGATGTCTCTGAAAGCTAACTTCCCAAGGAGTGAAATCTATCATCTACACACACCGTGGCTTTAAGCAATGAGCTGTTCTCATAATCAAATAACAGTGGCTCACACGGAAGCCACAGTGAGGAGTTAGCCATTATGTTTTATGTGAATCCAACCAGCAAAAGGATGCCAAAATTCAGACCACCCGTTTGCATCTTCATAAAGCCCCTGTTCTGAATACTTTATGGAATGTTAATAGATGCTCCCTCAAAAAAGGAGTCCATTATAAATCAGTGTTAAAAAACAAACAGGAAAAAAAAAAAAACATGTTGCCATAACAGGACCACCTTAGTGGATCCAAACAAGATTAACATAGTAAAAGCCCTTGGGCATTCCTTCCTCTCTCTGCTTACAACTCAGGACTTCCCTAACCCATCTCATCCGTGACCACCAATATCCTATCCGCGGATAACATCCTGCAGGCTGGCTGTAATTGGGTTCTTCCACACTGACTGCTAAACACAGCAATCACCCACTAGCTACCCAGTGCTCCTTGCAGACAGTATTACTGACTTTGCCAAAACATTCAAACTCCTCTTTCATCTATTTCAGGCCAGATTTATTCATTCTCTACTTAATATAAAAACATGAATTCTAAGTAAAACGTACAAGCCAAAATATCTTTCAGCGTTCTTATTATCAAATAAAAAAAGCAAACCTCAGAGCTGTATAAATCTAGTCAAATTATTAGTATAAAATATTCATAGATTCATGAATCATACTATATGGTAAACTACACTTCTAGAATAGTATCAACTTCAGGACTTGATACCACAATTTCAAAACTACAACTCCCCAAATGGATGATGAGAACAAAGTGTAAATCTCCAGCAGGAACCCCAGTCCACCCCACTGCAGGAGCTGAGACTCGATGGGTGATTTGTGGGGTGATTTATGGGGCAATAGCCGAGCAAAGCATTTTAGTCCCTTCTGGTCCTCTCCTTCTTTCCATGATCCTATCCAGAAGAGAAGGGACACTCCAGTCACTCCTGACCACAGAGCAAGCATGAAAGCCTGCTGAGACAGGATGGAGGAACAACCTGAGTCACAACTGAAAGGTGACAAGCTACATGTTCCAACAGCTTCATGAGAAAAAAGCAGTGATCACCTCTCTCCCCTTTCAGTCTCAGTTCATCTGGGCTTCCTGCCACCCATCCTGTCAGGCAGGATGATATATGGTCTTCTAACATCTTGATGGTGCTAACAGCTCCCCAGTCTCAACCAGCTGCCCCCCTGGATTCCGAGCAATCCTTCCCTTCAGGGCCAGACTCTAGGAGAGTGTGGGGCTGGGCAGAAAGGTGCATTCAGCAGCAGGTTCTTACTGGCAAGCTGCTGAGTTTTAACTCCCTCATCAGCTCTTCATCTGAGGGAACTTACTAAAGACCCTCTGGATGCACGGGCAAAAATATGCCATTTGCTTTTCCTAGCAAGAGAACAAGTTTTAGTCTAAGCTACTAAAAACTGTAGTTAGAAGTGTTATGAATCACCATGTGGGCACTGGGAATCAAACCTAGGTTCTGAGCAAAAGCAACTAAACCAGTAAGCCACTCTTCAGGGCCATGTTGGGAGTGGACAGTTTGAGACAAGGTCTCTCTAAGTAGCCCCAGCTGCTTAGAATTCAATATGTAGATCAGGTTGACCTGAAATCCAGCGACCCAACTGCCTCTGCTTCCAAACCTGGGTTTTTTTTTTTTTTTCAAAAACAATCGAAAAAGAGTTTTTCTAGGAGGCAAACAGACCCCCCTAGCATCATACCTTTTATCCTGGTCTTCTTGGCTGTCACTAGCTTTGCTCACAGACAGAAGTCTCTTGTCTCGAGGAACCTGAAAACCAGCAGTAAACCATCAGACAGCCTTATTGACCATGTGCAGATGGAGACACCAACACAGGCAAAGACACTACTGGGAGTGTTCTTTTTGAAAGTGAAGGTTATTGTCAGAAAATGGTTAAGAGGAACCAGAGACAAAGTGGTGACCAATGTAGGTTCATGATCACCATGCTGCTGCTGACCCAGGAGACTCTGCTGTGTGCTCCCAGCCTTAGGGAATGGGTGAGGGAAAGAGCCATATTGGGGTGAAGATGGGCTTGAAAGAGCAACCCACTGAGAACATGGAGAAAGCTTCCTTTCTGGAGCTGGGCGCCAGGCTGATGAGGGGTTGGGCAAGACACTGGGCAGGGCCTGACACTTCAGCCTGTGATACCCAGCATCTAATAGGAGCATTCCCTAACCACTCCAGTCTTTCTGATGCACTCATCCCTAACCATGATGACAGCAGGCCAGCTGACACATTATACTGAAAAGTCCTCCAGGGAGAGGGGAGGCTCCACTACCTCCAGATGTATAGATAAATGGTATGGATCTGGTTGATATGTAGAGGGTTTTTTGCATTTGCATTTCCTTTTGGACTTGTTTGCTTGTTTACTTCTGGCTAACCTTGAAGAGTGTCTTCTGAACCAATACTCTTATTGTTTTGAGATAAAGACACATTTGTGGCAAACTTCATTCTACTAAATCCCTCAAGGAAGTCCTATGGCTCCCATTCAGCCAAATGCATATAAAACCCAAGACGCCTAACAGAAGTAAGCAGCAAAGGAGAGGACACAGTTGGAACCCTAGAGTCTGACCACCCAGGCTCAAGTCCAAGCTGAAATATGGGTAGTTGCTTACAAAAAGCTCTGCCAGCTTTGTTTATGTCTCAAAAAGGACTCTCTGAAGAGCCCCATAAAGTCCCTGGTGGACAAAAATAACCATTTCACATATACTATGGTAATTTGACAGCAAATGTCGGAATAATTTAACTTCCAAAGTTCATAGTTTGAACTACAAAAAACTACAAAAAAAGAGAATTACCGTATTTCATCAACTTTGAGAAAAGATATCCATCCTCACAGGACAGTTAATTCTTAGAGACCTGAAAGAGGCCTCAGCGTGATCATTAGAACACACTATTCAAATGAAATAAGGCCAGTTCCAGCCAGGCTTGGTGGCAAACATCTCTAATCCCAGCACTTGGGAGGCAGAGGGCAGGAGGATATCTGATTTTTGAAGCCAGAGCTATGTAGAAGGACCCTGCCTCAAAACAAATCAAAACAAAAACAACAACAAAACAAACAAAAAGACTAGTTATTTTCTTAGGTACTAAAATGTTTCAAACAAAAAGACAGCAAATCTTGCATGCAATGTAAGGAACCCTAAGATTTAGGAGACAGTTATTTAACAGGAGAAAGAAACCAGATGTGGATAATCAGTCAGTATTGTGTAAACTCTCTACCTTGCATCTCTAAATATTACAGCCCAAGGGCCGGCCAGCCTGGTATATGTAGCAAAATAGGACAAACACGAGACCCCCCACCCCAACACACACACACACACACACACGCACGCATAAAGTAAATTTACTAACAAAAAAATTAAGAATAATATATTTCTTCTAAATATATCGATATATTCCTTTAAAGTCTTTTGAAACTATTGTCATATTGTTCATAAAAGTCAGAAAAAAATTGTCATTACCTGAATATTTAAGACAGGAACATTTTAACGATGAGTCAATAGATTTTTTTAATTGCTAAAACTGTCAAATTTCAACTACTTTTCTGTGATTAAACAACAACAACAAAGGACAAAAAAAAAATAGTTTTTCCATTTCTCTCTGACCTACAAACAAGAGGCCTGGCGGTGCCGGGAATGGGAGTATGGGAATAAAGCATTCTGATTGGTGGCGCCAGGAATGGGCGAGGCCAGAAATGAAGCATTCTGATTGGTAGTGCCAGGGATGGGCGAGGCCAGAAAAATGAAGCATTCTGATTGGTGGCGCTGGGAATGGGCGAGGACGGGAAATGAAGCATTCTCATTTAATGAGTTCTCTGTTTTTACTATTCTCTATAAACTTCAACAAGTTTTCATTTCGGATTTCAAAGCTATTCTTGTAATTTTCTTTTCTTCCTTTTTTTTCCTCCTTCAAGGCAGGATTTCTTCATGTAGCGCCTCCCCATCCCCCCTTCCTGGAATTCCCTATGTAAACCAGGCTGACCTTGAACTCAGAGATCCATCTGCCTTTTTCTCTAAATGCTGAGATTAAAGGTGTGACCACCCTGTCTGTCTGTATTTGACAACACATCCTCTCCAGTTAAGGAGGGGAAAACAACCTAGACCACCAGCAAAGGAACCAGTGAAATAATCTAGCACTTTCTAACAGGGAATAATGTATTTATCTGAGGTAATAAGACCTTGTTCCCTGTCTTAGGTGAGACAATAGGAAACAGACCCAGGGTCAAATTGTTCTCACAAGTTTCATCCAAACCTGATTTCCCCACAATGGAAGGGGAAGGGGGGTGGGGGGTTCTGCTCTTGGGTATCTATAGCGAAGTGGCCAGTGCAGCTCCTTAAGTGCCGTTGACTTTTTACACTTCCAACAGTTCCCAGAGGGCAGGTCAGAATTCTTAACACTTAGAATCCACTATTGTTTCTTGTTTAATTTCCTGAGATACACTTTAAAAAACTACTGTGTGGCCAGTATTTCTTCTCATGTTATATGGACCTTTAAGAACTTTTTTTTCCAAAATAAAAACAAATGGAGGCAGTCAGGGCTGGATTTTCTGAAAGCCCATCACCAACACACTCAAGGGGATGAGCCCCAGAAAGCAGAGAGAGAGGCACCAGGATGGTTCTTACTGAACTGAAAAATCTAGAGGCCAGTAAAGGTTGGCAGCTGAACTGACGGATCGTGGCAGTGCTGCACGAAGCGAGCTCCTAACCACCAAGTAAAATGACAGAAGGGAGGTACGTAAGACTCCAGCTCATGGGGGTCTGCCAGCCAGGCTGTCCTCTTCTGGCTTCTACACACAGACACATACACAGACAGACAGACAGACAGACAGACAGCAGACAGACACTCACATGCGGGTGCACACACACACACACACGCACGCACGCACGCACGTACGCACGCGAAAGAGAATCCCCTGATTACAACTTCTCTGTGGACATGAAGTTGGGATTCATAAGGGAGGAGGGGGACCAAAAATGACCACCTAAGGCCACTAACCTAGAACAAAGACTGTTCTGTGTTGCCGAAGCAGCGGTGCGGCCTGGAGGCAGGGAGGAAGGGCTGGCCCTCCGGACCCACCTTGTAGTAGTCGTAGAGAAGGCCCAGGGCGGCGGCGCTGTCCTCGTCCCCATTGATGCTCATCATCGCCTTGGTGGCCGCGGTCAGGGGGTTCTCCAGATACGACTTCCAAGCCTCATCCTCACTCGTGTAGGCTCTTCGGGTGTTGAACGGAGGGTCACTGGGCATGGGCACTAAGGCCACTAGTCTTTTATTACTGTAGAAAACAAGACAAAGGTAAGGCTCGTTGTCGGGGAACTTTGCGTGTTTTTCCGCTGATGCTGCACACGTCACGTGGTTACCCTGATTCGTATTTGCCCAGCGGAAGGCATGTTAAGGCCGAAATGACCACCACACTCACTTTTAAAGCCTCAGCTTACACCTTCACTGTGCATGAAGCGTAGGAATGGCTTTTTAAAGGGAGCTTGGACTTGAAGCCATGCTCAGTGGTTAAGAGTGCTTACTGCACTTCCGGAAGACCAGGTTCAGTTCCCAGCCCTCACGGCAGAGAGCTTACAACTGTCTGTAACTACAGTTCTAGATCAATCAGTAACTCTCTAGACACTCCACTCACGTGGTACACACACACACACACACACACACAAAATATTTTTCAAGGGTAGTATATGTCTTAGGATTTCTATTGTTGTAACGAAACATCATGACCAAAAAGCAGGTTGCGCAGCAAAGGGTTTATTCAGCTTACACTTCCACAATTTTGTTCATCAAGGAAGGAAGTCAGGGCAGGAACTCAAGCAGGGCAGGAACCCGGAGGCAGGAGCTGATGCAGAGGCCAGGGAAGGTGTTGTTTGCCTGCTCCCTTATAAAACCCAGGACCTCAGCCCAGGGATGGCACCACCCACAAAGGGTTGAGCCCTCCCCACATTGATCACTAACTGAAAACCCACCTTACAGCTGGATCTCATGGAGGCATTTCCTCAAGGGAGGCTCCTGTGACGACTCCAGCTTGTGTCAAGTTGACACACAAAACCAACTAGTACAATATGTCTACATAGTTCATACTGGCCTCCTCCAAACTCAGTTCTCCGCATCTAATCATTCTGGGTAATTTAATTATTCTTCATTAATGAGCAGTAGAATAGAACCCTATGAGGGAATAATTTTCCTTTAACTAAATCCTAATTTAAAACATTAATCACATATAGGTAATAGGTTAATGATTCAAATTGTTTTATTAAGTTTAATCTTGCCTAGAATTCTCAGCAAATTATAGACCCATATAAATCTCCTAATTAGAATAGCAACATAAGCTACTTGGCAAACAAAACCTGTTATATACAGATAAGACTGTGTAACAGAACTACGGCCGTGCAGTGATAGAATGGACTTTACTGACGAGTCCCATGTCACTGGAGGAGTCTCCTATTCTGAGATAATAGGGACGTGTCATGATAGGAAGCCCAATGAGGAGACTGTTGGCCTACAGGAAGAATTTCCCTAAGAGACAGGTGTGTGAGAATCAATTCTAACTAGGTCAACCTTGTGTAAAGCAGCAATGTCTTAAGATCAATGTGACAGCAGTGACTCATATACCCAAAGACTACAGTCAAGGAACTGAGTCTGGAGAAACTCTGAGGCTCATTTCTGAGCCCTTTTTTCTTATTCACTGAAAGGGAACAAAAGCCGAACGATACTCTGTAGTCAAGTAACAACTCCTAACACACCATCACCAGACACACGGTCACATGACATCTAGGTAGCAGTGCCAACTCTGTTGCAAATAGCGTGGTTTCAAAGTGTCTCATTTGGAATGAGGCAAATGCCTACTGACACAGCTCTGGAGGGCGACTGTTTGTTCAGTAGCTCATGATGAAGGAAAACTGAAAGGACACCAGCATTCTTAGGTAGGGACAGCAACGCCCACCAGCCCACCTCACAATGTCACAGAAGTAATGGTTAACTGGGTCCTGGGGAAGACGCAGGGCTCTGAGCATAAGTGGTACTGCCACCACCATGCTCTGGTGTTCCTATCCAGTTTCTGTGCCTTGAAGGCCTTGTTAGAGTTGATTATAATGCATTAATGGTAAAATAAAATCATAAATTAAAGAGAAATAAGAATTATTCATCTAATCTGGGCATGGTGGCACACACCTTCAATCCCAGCATTCGGGAGACAGAGGCAGGTGGGTTTCTTTAAGTTGGAGGACTACCTGGTCTACAAAGGGAATCCAGGACAGCCAGAGCTCTGTTACACAGATAAATCCTGTCTCAAAAAACAAACCAAGATTTGCTCGCCCAGTGCTAGTCCACAAGCATTTGTTGAGTGCACTGTAGGTAGTACTGCTGTTGAACACGGAGGGTGAGGGGATCACCCTGTCACCCACAGTGCCTAGCAGAAACTCATGATGGTCCTTGAGGAGGGAAGGAGAGGGGAAAAGAGTTTTTAAAATTAATACATTTCACCGTTCAGAATTAAAGTTTTATATAAGAAGTATGTTTTGGAAAGACGCTTGAGAGAAAAAAACAAACAAACAAACAAACAAAAAACTGCCTTCCTAAAAGGAGCATGGCGTTTCCACTCTGGAAAATGACTGACAGAGTAAGTTACACATGCAGGCTGGAAGTCTGTAGACAGAAGTGAGGCCTGACAGAGAACTGGATCCCGGGCTGGGACAGTGCTGGCCTCTCCCAGCACAGTTGTCTAATGGGGCTGCCCTCACCCATATTTCACTGAGAACATGAACCAGGAAACGGGAAGTCCAGTCATTCGTGGAGAGCTGGGCATCACACATGCTTTCCCAGAAACGGCGTGGCAGTAAAGAGTCTCGTAGTGTAGAAGCGCCAGGACTTAGACAAGGTCTCCAACATTAAAAATCGGAAGCAAAGTTCTGGCTACGTGTCGCTTTGGTGTCATCATAAGATTTAACTCTGAAGCTAAGCCACCGAATCCTAGAAAGCTGTATTTGAAGTGGCCTTGAAAGGCCTTGCCATTGAAAGGGATGAAGATGGTTTTCTCTGTCACTCCTGAGGAAGAGGATGCAGGCTAGAGACTGGCTCATTTCTAACATTTAGCAGGAAATGGT